TGCTTTTAGCTATTTTTTGCTACTTTGGCATATCATTTGGATTTTCTTATTTTAGCTAGTCTTTTCCCATATTCACATTTTTGTTAGTTTTTTGCTACTTTTATTTTTCATTTTAATACTTTTTTCATGCATTTTAAAATATAACATTTTGCTACTTTTAGTTTTTATCTATTGTTTTGCTGCTTTTAGATCGTCTTTTGTATTTTTAGCTTTACCTTTTTGTTTATTTTAATTTATTTAAAGATTCTATCTAACATTAGGACACTTTGTGCAGACGTTTCTTTTGCTTCTTTAGGATTTAAGCTAGTCTTTTGCTTATTGTTGCCATCCTAAGCTTTCAGTTAACCTTATTCTACATTTCAGCTTTAAGGAACATTTTTGCAACTTTAGGCTCGTTGCTAGCCTTTTAGGTTTTAGCTGGTATTCAGCTTCTTTTAGCTTTACCAAAGTCAGTTTTAGCTTCTTCAGCAAATATCCAGTCGTTCATTCTCACAGGTAATATAATTTTTCTATTGCTTTTTTTCAAATCCAAATTATTTAATATATTTAAAATTTTAAAACTAAAATATACAAAATTCAGAATTTTGATGTACATGTTTCAGACAAATAAACCCACTTAAATGTCTTCACCTCCCTAATGTTTGAATTACAGGATTTAGTTAAAAAAAAAAAAAAGTCAGCTGTTGTTGTGTGCAGGATTTAAAAAGTCCGAGGGATCATTTTGTGACTTTAGTCTCCTCCAAAGACACACAAACTGTCAGAGGTTAACAGAGTCCAGCGAAGAAGAAATCAGCGCTCTAAAACAATAACAGAGTTGAAGTGAAATGGCGCCATCTGGTGGCCATGTCTATTCACTGCAGTCTGATAAAATAAAAATTATAGCATTTCAGACTATTTTTTAATCATTGTTGCATCTTTTTAAACATTAAATTGTATTTGCTTTATTTTATTTTTAACAATATATGTTTTCAAAATATTTTATTTACATATAACACTGGTGTTAGTCTGGTGTTTTCTCATTAATAAGTGTTACTCAGTTCCTTCGGACTTTTCTTTTTATTGTTACTCTTTTTTATTGTATTTTACAACTTGTCGCTGTTTTAAACGATTTTGTGTTTTTATTATTGTATTGCCTCATTACTTTTCTTTTGATCTGGTGTAAACACACTGTTGTCTGGAATTTATTTATTTATTTATTGGCTGCTCCATTCTTCAAGGGTCGCCTCAGCGAATTAATTTGTACGAAGATTTGGCAATTATTTTACGCCGGATGTCCTTCCTGATGCAACCACAGACCACCGAGCTACAACAGCCCTCTGTGTGGAGCAGAGAGCTTCCATCTAGGGTGCCCGGGGGAGCAGATGATGGGGGTTAAGGGCCTTGCTCAAGGGCCCAGAGTGGGGCAAATGAGGGTGGAAGCAGGTGGGGATCACCTATCTGCACATTTTGATGTCTGTACCCGGAGTTGACCCAACGATCTTCTGATCACAGGCCCACCTTCTTTAACCTCTGCATCACTTCTTCTTCCCTGTTGTCTGGAATATGCTTTATAAATAAAGTTTGATTTTAATTTATTCAATGCATCTTAATGGCTTCTTGTTTTTCTTTTGATTTTAGTCTTAAATGACAGTAATTTAAATTGCAGTGTATTCTTTTATTATCTATTCGAAGTCTGATTTTGCAGTTCATTGTAATTGCATCTCTTTGCACAGAAGTGGTATTTTGTACTGATTAGAATGGATTTGTGGAAGGATAAAAAAAAATCATATTTTTATTTTACATTTACTTGTAAAGTCGATTCAATTAAAGATGGCCGCCCTCCTCTTGGAGATTGGCCAATTATAGTCAATTTCTTATATATTGAGCTAAACTTAGTGAAGCAGTAGTTTATGATCAATCACAACTTCGACATTTGTGGAGAAAACTGCTCCAGTAAGATAATTTTATTTTCCAGAGGATGCTAGGCCTTTTAAATTTCAACGCGAAGAGCGAATTGCGCATGCGCTGTTTGCATGTAGGTCACGCGAACCGCATTACACACAGTTCCAGCCCTCCTCTCACAGCGATGGGAAAACAAACCTGTTGCGGAGGTAATGAACCTTGACAAGTAGTGTAGAAACAGAGGGCGAACGTTAGTTCCGTTTTATTTAACTAACTGGTAGATTCAGCTTAAAAATGTTACGTTCGCAGCTGTTTGCCACCCGGGGCGCTAACTTGTGGGATTAGTTTACGTGTAGTCCGACGGCGGAGGCACACCTCGGTAGAATGGGCTGTGAGGTGGTCAACATGGCGGCGCCCTGTGGAGTGCTTCTACTCTAATAGGTAAACAGGTTGGATTATTTACGTAAACCGTGGCTTATTTTAATCGATTTTTAACGCATAAGTTATATTTAAGTGGAGGCCAGCGGTTCTGCTTGCTTTGGAGTCAAGTGGGCCGGACTGACAGGATAAATTAATCCCTGCCCAGACTGTGGATCGCTGCTCAAAGCTAACGTTAGCTCTCGGCGGTGGGGTGGGCTTGTTTTTTTAGGTATACCCGGTGATTGATTCGCTTAATGTACCAGAAGTCTACGCGGATTTTATCCGTGTTTTATGTAGTTGTAGAAGCAGCGGCTGGTTTGCCACAAATAAGAATCTAATTAGTTTTTCTAAGCGGATAAAGTCAACCCAACCCTGCCCATTGTTCTCTGGTTGTTTACGACAAGCAGCAGCCTCTGGTCACCTCACAAACAGCAGCTCTTTCTGTAATCTTCTCTCATATTTTATCACGATAACATTCGGTTTGCATTTTACTTCTTTTATCTTTAAGGCCACAATCATTTAAAATCGAGTCGAGCAGGAATACTGAATGTTGGTCGATGTTATTTACTCGTCTTTCTCCTCTGTTTTACCAACTGTATGAGAGTGAATTCACAGAATTGTTATTTTTTGCACAGTTCCTTTTCATTTGCAAAGGTTTTAAACCACCTTTAGTTTCATTATCTTCTGCTTCCAAGCAGACACACGTTCTTGTAACATTTTAAAGTGGTCTTGATCAATACTTTCCCCAATTTTCTTCGGGTCTTTAAAAGGTTTTGTTTTAGCTTTTGGCTTCTTTTTGCTCACTTTCTGTCCCCGACCATGATCGCATGTTATTGTGCAGCGTGTGCCTAAAACTGAGGAAAGTGGACAAATATTTATTGTTGTTTCTAGATAAAGTTTCCGTCACTTCCTGGTGTAGGAGTTGCTGTGAATCACAGGAAAACCTTGCAATGTGTGAAAATGTCCAGAGTCATCACCGGTGTCACTCCCCATCATCAAGAGTTATTATTTTTAGGAAAGATGCAAGAAATAGAAGCTTCCTCTCACCCTTTTCATGAACTGTTCAACTAGGGCTGCACATGATATAGAAAAATGATCATTGTAATAACGGATTGTGCAACATGCAGTAAACTGCAGATCCAAACTGAATGCAAATAATACATTTAACAATCAGATCAACCCCCACTGTCCTTAATTCCCTCAGCTAGTTTAAAAGAATGTAGCGTGAATGCTAAAGCAACAATGATGAAGGATGTGGCGACCGTAGAAAAGTAGAGACATGTGGAAAGGGTGTAGTGCTACTGATGTCGCAATCATCATCAATAATATCGCACTTGTAGGTTTTTATTATGTTCTGGTCTGTGTTTAACATTTTGCCACCTGGAAGACAAATTTGATTCAAAACAATCAGAAGGTTTAATTTCCCTGAAGCACACTGCTGGGAAGTGTTTATCTTTATTTCTATATACAAGAAATGTATTTAATATTAACCTTGGTTTAGCCAGGTGAACTCTATTAAGATCACAGATCTTTTTAGCAAAGGAGTCCTGGAGCTGAAGGCAGCCTAACGTGCATGTTTCTCACCTGTGACCCAGAGAAAACCCACGCAGCACCGAGAGAACATGCAAACTCCACACAGAAAGACTCAAGAGTCTAAACCGGGGATTGAACCCAGGACTTTCTTGCTGTGAGGCAAAAGTGCTAACCACTGAGCCATCATGCTGCTAAAAATCCAAATGTGTTCACATTTTATCTTATCAAGTAGAAGACTAAAGAAGTTTGAGGTGTAAAATAGTAAGTCAGGAACCCAAGAGACACGTCATCAGTCAGTTGATCTTTTAGGCAAAAAGTCATGCTCTGAGTAGCACTTGGAGTACAACCACACCAAATGTTAGCATAATATCTGTAAAAATGACAGAACTGTACCCTTTTGTTTTATAGGATCAGTTGGCTGCTGCCACAATCTTGAATCAGATTGACTCCAGATTTGCATCCAATGACCACTTGCACATTTACTTATAATTTGTCCAGTTTCCCCAAGATATTTTACTGACAAATTTGGCAAAGGCATTGTTGCCTCCCGCTGCAGCCGTAAATTCAGTTTACAAACCAGGTGCGATGTCTGGAGGAATCTTAAGATTTCCAGAAGTAATAGAATTTTCTGCACCTTGCTTGTAAAAGCTGGCTGCTTTCGTGTTGCTACAGTGAGGAAGAGAAGTATTTGAACACGCTGCGACTTTGCACGTTCTCCCACTTAGAAATCATGGAGGGGTCTGAACTCTTCATCTCAGGTGCATGTCCACTGTGAGACATGATCTAAAACAACAGCAAAAATCCAGAAAAACTACGTCAGATTTTTTAATAATTTATTTGTGTGTTACTGCTGCAAATAAGTATTTGAGCACCTGTGAAAATCAATGTTAATATTTGGTGCAGTAGTTTTTGTTTGCAGTGACAGAGGTCAAAGGTTTCCTGTAGTTTGTCACCAGGTTCACTGCAGCAGAGATTTTGGACCATTCCTCCACAGATCTTCTCTAGATCACCAGGTTTCTGGGATGTCGCTGAGAAACACAGAGTTTGAGCTCCCTCCAAAGATTTTCTATTGGGTTTAGGTCTGGAGACTGGCTGGGCCACTCCAGAACCTTGATATGCTTCTTACGGAGCCGCTCCTTGGTTCTCCTGGCTGTGTGCTTCAGGTCATCGTCATGTTGGAAGACACAGCCACGACCCATCTTCATTGGGGGAGTGATGGAGCAGAGGTTAGAAGATGGACTTGTGATCTGAAAGTCGCAGGTTCACCTCCCAGTACCGTCAACATCAAAACAGGTCTCTCTTGAAAATGAGTTCTCGTGGCTCAGTGAGTCTACCTGGATAAATAAAGGTCAATGGAAAAAAAAAAATCTTCAATGCTCTGAGGGGAGGAGGTTGTTCCCCAACATCTCTCACTACATGGCCCCGGTCATCCTCTCCTTAATACAGTGCTGTCGTCCTGTCCCATGTGCAGAAAAACACTCCAAATTATGATGCTTCCACCCCCATGCTTCACAGTAGGGATGGTGTTTTTGGGATGGTGCTCATCATTCTTCGTCCTCCAAACACGGCGAGTGGAATTAAGACCAGAAAGTTCTATTTTGGTCTCATGTGACCACAGAACTTTCTCCCATGACTCCTCTGGATCATCCAAATGGTCCTGGTCAAACTTCAGACGGGCCTGGACGTGTGCCGATTTAAGCAGGGGAACCTTCCGTGCCATGCATGATTTTAAACTATGACATCTTAGTGTATTACCCACAGTAACCATGGAAACAGTAGTGCCAGCTCTCTTCAGGTCATGGACCAGCTCCTCCCGTGTAGTTCTGGGCTGATTCCTCACCTTTCTTAGAATCATTGATACGCCACGAGGTGAGATCTTGCATGGAGCTCCAGTCCGAGGGAGATTGACAGTCATGTTTAGCTTCTTCCATTTTCTAATAATTGCTCCAACAGTTGATCTTTTTTCACCAAGCTGCTTGACAGTTGCCCCATAGCTCTTTCCATCCTTGTGGAGGTCTACAGTTTTGTCTCTGGTGTCTTTGGACAGCTCTTTGGTCTCAGCCATGTTAGTAGTTGGAGTCTTACTGACTGTGTGGGGTGGACAGGTGTCTTTATGCAGCTAACGAGCTCAAACAGGTGCTTCTAATTTAGAATAATAAGTGGAGGTGGACCAACAGGTGTTTGAGGACCAGAACTGATGCTGATTGGCAGCTGTTCAAATACTTATTTGCAGCAATAACACACAAATAAATTATTAAAAAAATCTTACATTGTGATTTCCAGATTTATTTATTTTAGATTCTGTCTCTCACAGTGGACATGCACCTAAGATGAACATTTCAGACCCTCCATGATTTCTAAGTGGGAGAACTTGCAAAGTCGCAGAGTGTTCAAATACTTCTCTTCCTCGCTGTATTTTATAGATAAAAGGAGTTTAACTGCATTTCCTGCTTTTTATGGTTCAATCTATCACCGTTATTTTATGAGTTGAATCACGGCCAGTCAAATGGAGAAAAGTTGAAACAATTTCAGATGTTTTAAACTTGACGTTACTGATCCATGCATATATTTCTGCGTGAAAATATTTTAAAAAGTTAAGATTTTTATTCAGACAAAACAAAGGTTTATATTGTTGCCGAGTTCATAGAAAATGTGATGGTCGTTAATCTATTTAATCTGACATTTGCATGATTTAATAAAAAATAGTTTTAGCTCTGTTTATTCCAGGGAATTATGGCCACAAGCCGCTCATAACTCAGCAACTGGGCAGTTGGACTGACAAAAATCATTTATTCAAATCACCAGAAGAGGCTTTTTTTATGGTGGAGCTTCTTTGAATATCCACAGAGGAGGCTGATAACAGCTCGCGCACGGCCTAATGTCTTTTCCAGCGCGTACATGGAGGCGCTCCGGCTGCATAAAGGTTCTTTGTGCGATCCTGAACATTCCCAGGCTGCCTGGGATCACACCGACTGCAGCTCATGTTTGTGTCCCGGCCCCGCAAGACGCTCGTGTTTGTATCCGAACCACATGCGCCAGCTGTTGATTGATAACAGTAAGACAGTTGTGTTGTGCTACAGGAGGACTCTGCTTTTATTTGCTTTGAAATAAAGTAGAGGAGAAGAAACTGTAATGAACTGTGTTACTTCACTGAACAGATAAGGCTATAAAATTATAAAATTGCTTTGTAAAAAGTAGAAGAAACCCTCTATTATTTTGGCCTTGATCCACAGTAGCTTGGTTTGTAGCGCTCTCTTTGCTTGGAACAATGGTCTTATTCAAAAAATTATAACAAAGTTAAACCACTTTTTATTCACGGGGCATCGTTTAAATTACAAATCAACTAGTCACCGTTATCCAAACCAATTCTGGTTTCCAATTTAATCTCAGCTCTGCTCTTTACAGAAATATACAGTAGGCCCGTCGCAATAAACAATAAATCAATTAATCGCACGGTAAATGAAAATTATCAACCTCCATTTTCATTTATCGGCTTTATCGTTTCTTTGTGTCCTACTGAAGACCCTGGATGACAAGAGGCTCAACTCAAAATTCACGGTTGAAACCTGTGCCTTCATCTAAAAGTTGTTTTTTCTCTGCAAAAAGAAGCTGAGAACTTGTTTACTTGTTTACATATGCTATGCTAATAAGCTCAAACCACACCGAGCGTCCGCCATTTTGAGAATCGAAAAACAGGAACGAGAGCCAGCCCATGTCATGTCAAGGGGCCTCTCTCCCATTTTTCTTAAAGAGACACGCTGCTCGCTCCCTCGCTATCCATCCTTCAGTTCAAACAGTCTTATACTGCCATCTAGTGGTCAAAAAGGTACAACACACAAATTAACTAATATTTCTTCTTAAATTTAATAATAATTACTAATTATTGTCAAATTTCAAACAATATTATCGTTTATCGCAATAATTTCTGAGACGATTAATCATCCAGCCAAATTTGTTATCGTGACAGGCCGACTATAGAGTCATGAAAACAAAACAAGTTCAGCTTCGTGCAGATTTTATGTGAACAAAACCACTCAACAGGTTCCACTTTACTAATTAAACACAAATGAAGCCAAAGTGTAAAACAGTGTGTGTGGGGGGGTGTCCGCCCTTGCTGTTTCAGTTGAATTAAAAAAGTTCAGTATCAGCCAAGCGCTGCTGATCAAACGTATTGATTAACTGATCAAAGCAGGTGTTTTTGCTACTCTGGTGGGTGCACCACAATGCCAAGCCATAAAAACATCAGCAATGATGACCTCAAGGTGTTCTCTCCTGGGCTGTGAGTTTTGGAAACTAAAAATATGGGATTATTGCGAGAAAATAAACTTAAGTTACATTCTTACCAAATTATGAGCGTTTGTGAGCAGCGGGTCGTGCGGCCACGCTTTGCTCGCCCAGTTTTTATTTAAAAAAAATGCTCGGGGATCTATTCTAGACTGTGCACATTTTCTGTTTGAAGGTTGTTTGTCTATGCGTGGACAACATCGTTATAGATAAAGGTAAAACCCAGATATAACGTTGGTCTTTACATTAGAATGACTCTATCCGACGCTGCCTTTGTTTCTTTTCCTCTGTGTTCAGATCGTTTTGTGGTCGAAGTTTCAGTTTTTAGCACCATATGCCAGAGCTTTGCAGAGAAACTTCACTGAACAGCTGTTGCCCCATCTGTGCCCTTTTGAAAGATAATCATCAAAAATGTGAAATAACTGGAGTGCAAATCAGCAGCCTCTAAACACATAATGTGAGCAAACGGCTCAAATTTATTCTAAATATTTGAGTGAAATATTTGTGTTTGAAGCTAGATATTAAGCTAACAGAGTACCAGCATGTGCTCACAGTTAAACACACTGTTTGTTATGTTTGTTAAATTGGTGCAACTTCACTTCGGTTTATTGGTTCTGCAGAAATATTCTGAGTTTATCTCTTTAGGGATCAGCCAAAGGAAGCGCCGTTAGCTGCAAACTCTTCCTGTTGTTTAGTTGTTAGTGTGACGGTTTGAGCAACAAAGAATCCCGGATCAGAGCTCCGAGCTAAATCTGGTTCTGAATCGGCAGAGGTGCCTGGAGACTGTGTTGGTGGGTGGGCCCCAGGAGTCCTCCAGGCAAGCCAGGACTGACTGTGAGAGAAGTGCGGCCTCCTCCTCCAGCACTGCCACCACCATGGCCCGAGAGCAGCCCAACGTGGGGGACCTCCTCCCACTCCTGGAGACCTCCGACCTCCAGCAGCTCGAAGAGATCCGAGGCCTTATCAACGAGCAGCTCAACACCGGTACGTCGACACCAGCTGACGTGCGGACGTGTTCTCATTTTAACAAACCCATTTAAAATGTCCTTCCTGTTGTCTTTGAAGAGCGAGGCTCCATGTTGCTGAACGGGCTGGTGGATTACTTTTTGGAGACCAACTCCGCCCAGGCCATGCATATCCTCTCGTCCGTCAGAGAGCCACATGATAAGGTCAGAACCTCACGTGGTTATGCATAAACCGGACTTTTGCTTTGACACTAAATATAATGCCAGTAGGTGCGTTCTTATCCTGTCTTACAGTCCCCCACAACAAAACCAAAGTCCACCCTCTTTCAGGTTTAGGCTTTGATGAATCAGGACATAATCAGAGTTATCAGGTTCTAAAATTACTTCAATTTAACCTAAAGTTAACAAAACACTCAGTAGATTTAAACAAAGAGTCTAAATATCAAAGCTGTGAAAAATGACCTTAATCCTTGTAGAACCTCCTTTTGAAGCAACAAGCCTCAGTGGTGGTTTCTCTCTGACTTTTTTCAGTGTCACATCGCTCGTGGTCGGCTCAATGACCGCAAGGAGCCCAAACCATCAGCCCTCCACCACTGAGCTTGAGTGTTGCGGAGAATGTGTGGGGGAATCTGTTGTGTATTTTTGTCTGTTTCTGTAATAGTTGTTGGCATCAAATTCAGACACGTTTAAAATAATGTATACAATTACAAGTCTAAGAGGGATATGCAATGTAGAATAGAATATAATTCAACTTTATTGTCATTGCACGTCACAAGTACAAAACAACAAAATGCAGTTTGCATCTATCCAGAAGTGCTTAGCAAAAGCATAGTATACAATATACATTAAGTTGTTTTGAATATGCTATAAGTATAAATATATACAGGTTATGAGTGTACAGACTATGAACAGGTTATAAATATGAAGGGGTATAAACAAACTGTATAAAATAAAAAAATATATAAGTATGTGAGTACTTATGAACAGTAGGTAGTAGATTATGTGTACATTTTGTACAGTAGTGGGCTAACGGATGAAAGTGGTGTTTCAGTCCATGTGTTGTTGGTATGAGAATACAGACAGTTGTTGTTGTTCAGATGTCAGGAGGCAGAGCTCAGGAGTGTGACAGCTGTGGGGAAGAAGCTGTTCCAGTACCTGGTGGTTTTAGTCCGGAGGTTCCTGTAGCGCCTCCCAGAGGGCAGGAGGGTGAAGAGTCTGTGTGCTGGGTGGCTGGAGTCTTTGATGATTTTCCCAGCCCTTTTCAGACACCGCTTCCTGTAGATGTCTTCTATGGCAGGAAGTGGTGCTCCGGTGATGCGTTGGGCAGCTTTCACCACCCTCTGCAGTACCTTCCAGTCTGAGGCAGAGCAGCTCCCGTACCAGACTGTGATGCAGTTGGTCAGGATGCTCTCAGTGGTGCAGCAGTAAAAGTTCACCAGGATGTCTGAGGACAGGTGGTTCTTCCTCAGAGTCCTCAGAAAGAAAAGGCGCTGGTGAGCCTTCTTCACCAGCTTCGAACAGCCGGTCGTCCAGGTGAGATCCTCGGAGATGTGGACACCCAGGAACTTGAAGCTGTTCACACGCTTCACCACTGTCCCCTTGATGTAAATGGGTGGATGTGGGTCAGCGTTCCTCCTGAAGTCCCCGATGAGCTCCGTAGTCTTCTCAGTGTTGAGCAGCAGGTTGTTGGTGTCACACCACTCAGCCAGACGAACCACCTCCTCCCTATAAGCGGTCTCATCGTTGTCTTTGATGAGACCGATCACCGTGGTGTCATCTGCAAACTTAATGATGGTATTGGAACCATCGTCAGGTTTGCAGTCATCTGTGAAGAGGAAGTAGAGGAAGGGACTCATCACACAGCCTTGTGGTACACCGGTGTTTATAGTGATGGTAGGTGAGCAGTAGTTATCCAGCTGGACATGTTGGGGTCAGTTAGTCAGAAAGTCCAGTAACCAGTTGCACATGAGGGAACTGATGCCTAAGTCTGAGTTTTGTGATGAGTTTTGAGGGGATGACTGTGTTGAATGCTGAACTATAAAAATCTTTGAACAGCATCTGGGCAAAGGTGTTTTTGTTGTCCAAGTGTGAGAGGACAGAGTGCAGCGCTATAGAAACTGCATCCTCTGTGTCCTGTTCTGGTGGTATGCAAATTGGTTGGGGTCCAGGGTGGGGGGGAGACAGGATTTGAGGTGTACTAGAACCAGCTGCTCAATACACTTTGTGATGATGGAGGTGAGGGCTACCAAACGGTAGTCATTGAGTCTTGATGGGTTGGAGTTTTTGGGTATCGGGATGATGGAGGTGGTTTTGAAGCAGGTCGGTACCACAGCACGGGCCAAGGACAGGTTGAATATGTCCATCATTACTCCTACCAGCTCCCCAGAACGCGCTCTAAGAACACGTCCAGGGATGCCATCAGGACCCGCAGCCTTGTGGACTTTAATCCTGGTCAGCGCCGCTCCTACATCAGTGGGGAAAAGAGTCAGTGGTTGGTGGTCTGGAGACACATCTGCCTTGGTTGCAGTTGTTGGGTTCCCTCTCTCAAAACGAGCATAGAAATTGTTGAGCTCGTTGAGGAAGGAGACATCAGAGGAGACGGGGGAGGGGTTGATGGCCCTGTAATCTGTATGAATCTGGAATCGTTGCCACATACGTCGGGGGTTGGAGTTGGAGAAGTGTTCTTCTATCCTCCCCTTGTAGTGGTGTCTGGCCTTTTTGATGCCCCTCTTCAGCTCAGCCCTGGGTGTACTGTAGGCCTGTGCATCCTCTGATCTGAAGGTAATGTTGTGGGCCTTCAGCAGGAGACATACATCCTGATTCATCCAAGGCTTCTGGTTGGGGTACATGGTGATCTGTTTCTGGGTGGTGACACTGTCCACAGTGGTGGAGATGTGGTCCAGTACAGATGAGGCGTACTGTTCCAAGTCTGTGCGAGTGAACATATTCCAGTTTTTGAACCGGTCCTGGAGCACAGCGTCTGTCCCCTCTGGCCACACTTTTATTGTCCTCACAGTAGGAATGCGCAATATAAACGGTACACGGTAGAAACGATAGAAATTTAGCCTACGATATAGATTTGTCTTCTACCGGCTAACTGCAGTAAGGCTGTGTCTGATGTAAAATCAGAGTTGTCAGTTTAATCGTTACTTTTTTTGAGCTGAAAACTGTGCGTGTGGCGTTAGTTTTTTCTTTGAGAGCTAAGTAGTGAAGCTACAAGCTAACTACGGCCGGCTTGCCGTAGAGTTGCCGTATTCTGACGCATGCGCAAAACGTGTTCCTTCAAAAGTTTTTTTGTTTTTTTTTCCATGGAAAGTTAAAGTAAGCGTTGGGTCAGCTTTAGAGAAACCTGCTCTCTGATCTGTGAAAAGAACGCTGTGTTGTGTGATTTTACTGCGAGACCCTCTGGTCAAAGCCACAGACTCATTTTTTCATATCGCGATATACATCGTTATCGCCACCCTTCACAATACATATCGTGATATGAATTTTATACCATATTGCACATTCCTACCTCACAGTGGGTTTCACACGTTGGAGGAGTGGTGAGTACCGAGGTGTGAGGAAAAGAGAGAGATGGTCTGATGTGGGGGAGGGGTGTTGCTCTGTATGCTCCAGCCAGGTTGAAGTAAACATGGTCCAAAGTCTTGTCCCCTCTGGTGTGGCAGGAGACATGTTGGTGGAATCTGGGGAGGACTGTCTTCAAGTTGGAGTGGTTAAAGACACCAGCAACAATAAAAGCAGCCTCAGGGTGTTTGGTCTGGTGTTTGCCAATGACTGCAAAACGTTATTTCATAGTTCTTTCATAATATGCAAATCGTTGTAGTTTCTAAGCTTAGAATAAAGCAGCTATAAGATTTTTCTTGCACATATGCAAAATTTGGAGCAGCACAGTAAAGTTCAGAGCCAGAGTTTCTTTATTGTCGTTCCAGCACGTGATGGTACACAAGGTCCCAGTTACATCCAACAATAAAATGCAAAATAAAAACAGTGATAAGGTGTAAGATATGAATTAAGAAAAACGCAAACTAAAAATACAGTTACGTTCTGGTTAATGCTGTTGCCTCACAATAAGAAGTAGGGCTGCACCGATTGTAGTTTTCTGGCCGAGCACCGATTTCTAAAAAGTCTGACCTGCCGATTCCGATTTTGGCCGATACCGATTTTGTTTTATAAGCGACATTGTCAGGTGTTATAAGTTCACAACGCACCTTCAATTTTCCAATATTATTTTATTGAAAAACAGACCCTTGAACAATAGAAACAATACAAACTTGTTTTAACTGGCCATGATGTAGTGCTCTGAAATGTAAATGAAGTTCAGACAATTGTTGTTAAAACAAACAAAAAAAATCTGTAAAATCGGTTTCTCATGCAAGTATCGGCCGATTTCCTATTTCCCAAAATTAAATTTATCGGTGCACCCCTAATAAGAAGGTCGCAGGTTCGCCTCCCGTTTCTCTGTGGAGTTTGGCTGTTCTCCTCGTGCACTCAAGGGTACTCCGGTTTCCTCCCACAGACCCAAAACATGCATTTTAGGTTAACTGCTAACTCTAAATTGTCCCTGGGTGTGAGTGAGAGTGATTGTCTCGTTTGTCTTTGTGTCCCTGTGATGGACATGCGACCTGTCCAGGGCGTCCTCCGCCACTCGCACAGCGACATCTAGAAAGAGACACCCAAAAATTAAATTAATTGATGAACTGATGCATAAAGTTTTAGTTTACGATTAACAATCAGCATGTCCTTTCCTTCCATATTGAACGATGATTTTCCGCAGCTAACCTTGCCGTCTGTCCTCCACAGCACCTTTTAGACAAGATGAACGACTGTTTGACCAAACAGGCCTGCCGGCTGCCCGCCCTCATGCTTCTTGGCCATGTAGTCCGCAAACAGCCGTCCTGGATCCACAAGATCGCCCGTTACCCTCTGCTGCTCTCTCTGCTGAAATGCCTCAAGGTAGCCACAAAAACACGACTCGGTGAAGAAAACAGCAAAGGTTTCCTATAAAAGCTATAAAGCTTCTTGAAGTCGAACCCTTTTTTGTATAAAATATTGCATTTTTCTTCTGGCAAGCATAAAAAAAACCTGCTGCTCTTCACTTATCTGGAGCTTAATTGCTTAAATCTTAACAAATGCTCAGAACCATCAAGACTGAAGCTGTCTTTGTTTTTATTTTTATTTTTAGACTTGTCTCCTTAATATCTGTCCCTGTTCTAAATGTAAAAGCTTTATTTCCTGGCAGACGGACACAGATGTAGTCGTACTCATAACCGGAGTGCTGGTGCTGATCACTCTGCTGCCGATGATCCCTCAAGCTGGGAAGCAACACCTGTGGGAGTATTTTGATATTTTTGGTCGTCTGGCATCATGGAACCTCAAGAATCCAGGTAAAAACTTCTACCCGAGTCGTTAAAAGTTCTGCAGCGTGATTTAACTTGTTGTGTGTTTTGTTAATTACCGTAATTTACGGACTATAAGCCGCTACTTTTTTCACACGCTTTGAACACCGCTGCTCCCACAAAACTGTTCAGAATCAATTTGTTTGGCGTCTCCTCGGACTGAAGAAGTCCTTTGGATGAAACGTCTCAGCAAAAAAAGAAACCGTCCAGATGACCTGACTGAACAGTGTTGGATTTCTACCTGGATTATTGAGAACTTTTTTTAACTTGTAGTTTTATGAGATATTTTGTTTTCCTTCACACGCAGGCCATGTTTCAGAGGTTTACCTAATCCACCTGCACGCCAGCGTTTACTCACTCTTCCACAGGCTTTACGGCATGTACCCGTGCAACTTTGTGTCCTACCTACGCTCCCATTACAGCATGAAGGAGAACATGGAAACCTTTGAGGAGGTGGTGAAGGTGAGATTTTTGTTGTTTGTTAGGGGTGTAACAGGACGCACGTCTCACGGGACTAGATAAAATCCTGTATTGACGAGATTTTTTAAAACATTTTTGAGGAAATTGAGCTTTTTCTACAAATTCAACTGACTGGTCCCTCACCTGGCTGGTTCTCATGGGTCAAGTCAGAACTTAGAATGGTGCTTCAACATTACACGCCCTTCTGATCTGTCATTAAAGCTGTGTACTCTTTTAAATATTTCATACAGAAATATGAACTTACCCTTTCTCAATATAACTTTTTATCAGTCAGAACAAACAATGTACTGGATTCTGACTTTTTAATCACTATTTTTATTGTTTTGTAAAGAAAACGTTTAGCAAAAGTCCATCAAAACAGCTCAAATTAAACTTACCGGTAGTAAAAATTAAAACGGGTACAAATGTTTCACATTTTATTTACAGGACAAACAAAAAGACAGTTTGGATAAAATGAACTCGGATAGACTGATCTGCTTTGACAGACGTAGAAACTCTCAGGCCTGGCTGAGGAGGACATTAGAGCGAAACTACGTTGTTTGAGTTTTTCATGACAGTATTTTTATTAGAGAAAAGTTGCTCACATTGATGAATACAGGTAGCTAAACGACTTGTGTGGAGAGCAATGAACTGTACAGTTAGATTTTATTTTTACATCCATCTCAAATTTTGATTGACTTTTTCCTTTTAACAAATTTAAAAACTTTAACTATTTTTTCATCTTCTAAGTTAACAAATCCCTGTGAAAACTGAGTCTTTTCTATTTTAAACAAATGCTCAATGGAGACTCTTCCTCTCAGCACGTAGCTGCAGAGGCAACGGGAGGAGCGGGGAAAGCTCCTTACAGCACGGCTTCAGCAAAGGCACAGCATGGTCCTAGTGCCGGACATGTTTGTTTAAACTGCTGCTACAAAAACTATTATGGTGGAGCCATCTTTAGTAACAATTTCACCAGATAAAGTCATAAGACGGGCTTTTTAGGTTTGCAAGACAGTTTTCAACCCAACACGAAATGGATCTAATCTGGTAACTGGATCATAGATCTGCGGCACGAGAGCTTGTTACACCCCTAATGTTGATGCTACTTCCTGCTTATTTTATTGAAAAATGACAGATGAGTCTGTTGCACACCCTTTAGCCGATGCTTGAACATGTCCGCATACACCCCGAGCTGGTGACGGGAACCAAGGACCACGAGCTCGACCCAACCAGGTAAAACCCTTGCTGCTATGCCTATAAAGATGAAAAATGTTAAATATATACACGTGCATACTGTTCATTCCTTCATTTAAGTCTACGTTAACTCTGCCTCGCTGTGCTATGCTTTATTCTAGGTGGAAAAAGTACGAGATCCACGATATTGTCATTGAATGTGCCAAAGTGTCCCTAGACCCCAAGGAGGCCTCCTGTGAGGAGGGCTACACCACCATGCCTGAAAATTTTAATCCCCAGCTGCACCTGCGGCCACAAGACTGTGCTTCAAGCCCATACACCGACCTCCACAGCAGCTATGGTTAGAAAACTCTAAAGTGTGACACTCTTTTTACAGCATAATAAAAAGTTTATAGAACAAAATAGTTATTTTTTGGTTTGAATGAAGAAGTTTTCACAAACCTTTGGTAGGTGCTTTAGTAGTAGCATCTCCTCTTTTAGCAACAGTCTATAAACATTAAGGACTGAGGAGACCAGCTGATGGAGTTTATAAAGTAGATGCCATTTCCTGCATTCTGGTGTATTTTAACAGACTGTTAAACATCCAAGTTTACCTACATATGTAAACCCTTGATTCAATAACTATTTTAGAGAGCACAACAAGAAGTAGCCTGACCAACAGCCCTCCTTGTGTGAATAGAGCACGCATCCTAACCCCCCACCCCAGTTCGACAACTACCAGCACTAACGTAGCGCTAAGCTAGTGCAGGACAATACAGACGAGCTAGCTAAGATGCTTCAGACATAGCGCTCCACTTCTCCCATGCATCCTATACACCCTCCCCTCCCCAGTTGACAACTGCCAACAGTAATATAGCGCTAAGCTGGCGCACAACACAGAGGTGTTTCTCCCTCCTCCCCGCTCCGTCCACAAAAAGCCCCTCAGAGTTGAGCGCTTTGCCAAGCCAAGTGACCTCTGAGAAACACTGTTCTGGTGAGTTGTTGCCGGCAACTAGGAAAACCTGGAGTGGACTTTTAGTAGTTTGAGTATTCTCCTATTAATCAAGGGGAATGGATTTGTTCACAAAGAAATAGAAACAGCGCTGTGTGAACTAATATTTCATGGTAAATGGGGCGTCCAAATGAATCTTTTTTTAAATGTGAGGGGGACAAGTCCCCTTCACATATAATTGTTGCAACGCCTATGGAGTGGTTTAGCATGGTCTTGCTAAAATATGCAAGCCCTTCCCTAAAAATTTTCTTGTGAATGGGGGCATATGCAGATTTCAAACTTGTATATGCATTTCTGTATTATTGCTGCCTTTACAGATACTGTATGTAACCTGCTCTTTCCAATGGCACTAATGTAGCCCTATACCATCAGAGAGGCAGGTTTTTGATCTTTGTGCTGTTAACAGGCTGGTTGGTCCCACTCTTCTTTAATATGGAGGGTGTTGCATCTGTTGTTCCTGAAAACCATTGAGCCTCGATCCATTTTATTTGAGCGTTGGCCCCGAGAATAAGGCGTTTTTGTTGTGAATAGCGTTAGCACACGGTGACTTCTTTGCATCGTAGAGCTTTAAGCAGCATTTGTAAACGGCACGGTGAACTGTGTTTACAGATAATGCATTGTGGACATGTTGCTGATGCTTGTAACAGAATCGGACCTGTTTTTAATGAACTGCTGCTTAACGTATTTTGCTTAACAGACGGACTTGGGCTAAAACATTTTGTGACATTTTCTACAGGGATTTGTTTGTGCGTAGATTGTCGCTATTTGGTTGTCAGCTAATTTTACTCACTGGTCATCATGTGTGCAGTCATCAGTATACAACAGGATGAGTTTTTTGCTCCAGTTTCACAAATAAAATTTAAGTTACAGTTCATCATAAAACGTGGAACGTTTCTATACATCGTTACGACTCCGGTAATTCAGAGGCTTGTGTGTTTTCTGTCCTCAGCTCATTTTCCTGCGTTAATTCATAAATTGATCAGACCGTTTGTCTTCTTGACAACAGGAAGCTCTTCTTCGACCCCGTTCTCCACTCCGCGGCAGCCACTACCCCCGCCCCTGTCCTTGCCCCCCTTCTCAGGGACACAGCCCTCTCACCGCAGCCCACAGACCTCCAGACGGCAGGTAAGACCATCCATAACAGGATCCAAAGCTGTCAAAAACTGCGTTTCAGGACGCGGGATTGGTCAGTAATTAATGACCAGGGAGTGATGCCAGGACACGGTGTCAGTGAAATTAAAGGGTGGACAAACAAAACACTCTGAACAATAACAAACTAACAGTTTAGAAGACATTTTAAAGATTTTACAGGGCATTTAAAGATCATTCTGTGATGAACAGAGTTGTAGCTGTTTTAGTCCAGACTTGTAAATGACGAAAATGTATCAAAATATGTTTTTTACTCTCGACTATATCAATATGTGTAAAAATATTTGGACAAACATTTTAGTTTTTGCTAAGCATGCTTAGATATAGTGTCCATTGTGTAATGGATTGGCTCCAAACTATTTTTTACATAAATGTAGTTATGCATCTTTATGTCTGTAAATATTTTTTGCATACAGCCAAACAGCTTCTGTAGATACATTTTCCAGTTTTCTCTTTAAAGTTCAAACTAAGCTGATCAATCAAACAAACATGAATCATTTGTAGTTGGTTAGTTCTTTAAATGATTACTTTCTAAAAGTTACAATAAAATTTGGCTGCTGGTTCATGAGATATTTTGCTAACAGACAGTTGATTCCAATAGTTAAAGGCAGTGTTTTAAAACGGAGCTTGCTCATTTGCTATGAAATAAAGTGCTGTTATAGCTATTTTTGTGTTTGCTAAAGTAGAACATTCATAGTTGCGTTCAGGCCTGTTGCGATAAACATTAAATCAATGAATCGCATGATAAATTAAAATCATCAACCTCATTTTCATTTATTGGCTTTATCGTTTCTTCGTGTCTCTCTCTTTCTACTGAAGACACTGGATGACAAAAGGCTCAAACTCCAGTGCTCTTCACTGACCCCTCCCTTTCTCTTTAAATTCAGTTTTAACCGTCCAAAATTATGTTTTTGGATCGTTCAAAGCAGCCAAGTTGAGAAGCTAAGCTACGAGCTAAGCTAACAGGCCGACCTTGGGGAAAAAACCTCCGTCTTGTCAAAGCTCCAAAACTCACCGTTGAAACCCGGGCCTTCTTTCTAAAAAGTAGTTTTTTCTTTGCAAAAAGAAGCTGAGAACTTGTTTACTTGTTTTTTTATTAAAAGCTTTGTGTGAAAAATGCTATGCTAAAGAGCTCAAACCATTACCGAGCATCCATCATTTTGAGAAACAAAAAACAGGAAGGAGCAACAGCCCATGTCACATCAAGGGGCCTCCCTCCCATTTTTCTTAGAAACACGCTGCTCGCTCCCTCACTATCCGTCCTTCGGTTCAAACAGTCTTATACTGCCATCCAGTGGTCAAAAAAGGTATTACACACAAAAATTAACCAACATTTCTTCTTAAATTTGACAATAATTACTAACTATTGTCAAATTTCAAACAATATTATCGTTTATCGCAATAATTTCCGAGACAATCGCCCAACAAAATTTGTTATCATGACAGGCCTAGTTGCGTTAAAATATGCCTTTTAGCCTTCAGCGACGGGCCATAATCGACTTTGTCGAACCCGCGTTTGTTTATATCTCCTTTGTGGTTTCATTTTCTTTCTTTCTTTCTCTTGTTCAGAACTCCACCTGTGAACTGAACTCTTCCTGCGGGGGGAAGGACCCTCTGTGGAGCCCCTCCTCTTTGTGTGGCATGGCCACGCCCCCTTCCTCAAGGGGCATGTCGCCCAATTTGGAGCTCTCCCACAGTGCCTCACACCTTCCGAGTCGCTTCCACTGCACATCAGGTACGTCCTGAACCCATGTCGCCTATCTTAATGTTTATTCTAGACCTGCACCTGAATGTTGGGTTGTTTTGGTTTGATCAGGAGGGAAAGGAACGCCAGCCTCCAGCACACCCGCCACCTCATCTCCACCTCCTGCTCTGTCGGACGACTTCCCTGTTATCTCCTTACCAGCCAACACGGTCCAGTCCAGTCCTCCAAGAAGAGTAAGATGTTTCCACATTGCTGGAAACGCAAGTTCTTGAAATCTAAACACCTGAAAATATTTCGTCCATTTGTGACAACTGTCCTTTTCAAACCTAGCTTTTTTTAGGGTTTGGATCCTTCCATAGGTTTATGAGAAACTTTGACAGATCAAACCACTTTATTTGTTTCCAGAAACTAAATGATGACAAACAAATGTTTTGACTTTTTAGGATCGTCGGCAAGGAGAAACCAGCAAACCAGGACTGGTGAGACAGGAACCAGTCAGGGATGTGGAGAAGAATGCAGAAGGGTCCACCAACAGAGGTTAGACACCATAAGACCCTGTTCACACCTCGAACTTTATATTTGTCAGGCTTGTAAGAGATCCGCTCTGACTGCTAGCTTTCACACCTGCTTTTAGCATAAAAATAAAATCCAGAACAAAGAGAAAAAAAAGGTGCATCGTCAGAATAGTCCCAAAGATGAGCCAGCAGCTGAGTGGACTTTTTTTTTTATATCTCAAGACATCCAGGTTATAACTAGAGCCCGACTGATATGGAAATTTTGGCTATTACCGCTACCGATATTAGGAATGAATGCGGCCGCCAATCACCGAAATGCTGTCTGAAAAGTTTTGAGCTTTGTCCACTCCAAAGAATCTTAAGAAAACAGCAAGTGGAGCGGGGCTTGTTTTTTTAGCACAGCTGTTAGCGACCATGAAGCTAAGCTAATCAGATCCGTGCTATACCGAGTCCCACAGTAGGTTTACAGGTGATGTCTTCCTAACATGCGTTCACATTTTCTATCCTCCACTATTCACCCTAAACTTATCAAATGTGTTACAAAAATACAAATTAAACAAAGAAACACCCTTCCTGTTCATTGTTTACACAGTCATTCACGTACAGTGAAGGTCTAATTTGTAATGACCGCAGCAGAGTTTATTTATCTTTGCAGAGAAGTAAAGATTTCAGACAAATGCATTTCATTGAGGATGACAAATATAACGTTACTAACACTAATATATTTTACCTCTAAGTTATATTTGTTGTTCTGGATAAAGTTGTACAAGGCAATAGCCTATACTAGCTTATCTAAACATTAGCTATTTAACTTAAGAGGCATGTAGCTAATGACAAACGGGTTGGAGGGTTGAAGAGAATTTATTGTTGTTTTTAATTTTATTTTACAGATTAATTAAAATAAACTTACCATGCTCTGTTCAGCAAAATATGCTGCACAATATTGCTTCCTGCTTCGGCTGTGCTGAAAGTGAAACTTAAACAAAGTGAGCACCTTCTGCTGGATACATTGTACAATTACGGCTCGTTCCCAGCATTTTAGGGGTGAAATTTAGAAATGTTTATATCAGTGCACTATGGAACGGTTATCACCAATACGATATGTCTCCAAACGCCTATATCGGCCTAAAATATCGGCCCTACTGATATATCAGTCGGGCTTTAATTATAACTGCTGCTTGTTTAGGATTACGTCAGTTAAGTAGGAGGTCCTACAGTGGGGCTCTGGAAGAAATGTGCTCAGTATCAAACTTAAGTGAGTGAAAGTGGTCCAGATCACATTTGAAAGCTTTTAAAATACTTTCAATGCACATTGTGGGCATTCTTGTATTTAGTGACTGATATCCGATAACTCAAGACGGATTTTAGCGATAGATGTGAACGAGGTGTAAGAGTCCTCCGTGTGGTTTGATGTAATTGCTTTCAAAATAAAAAATCAAAACCAACTGGGGGAAAAAGACCTATAACACAAAAGATGTATCTGAAATGTTGACACTAAAACAGTCCCCCCGAAAGAGCTAGAATTTCACTTTTTAAACCGCAGCTGTACCGTACTTTCCGCCTTTAAAGTCACACCGCCGTATAAGTCGCATCAGTCCAATTATGTCTATCTATAAAGTGGAAAAAAACATAAATAAGTCGCTTCGCCTTAAAAGTTGCACCTATTATGCGTCACCGCTGATGCGTTGCGTTTGTTACGCGTCACTGCCGACCACCTGGAAACGCAGGCCGGTGTGCCAAAAATCGATTGGCTGCCAAATGGCGGCTGCAGGAGCGTGCACAGGAGGACTTTAACAAGATTAACACTTAAAAACAATTATTTGTTTGTTCAAAATTATAGTAAAGGTGTGTCTCAGTTGAACTTTTCCTTAAAAAATGCACTTTAATGGTCGTATTAGCTGCATTTCACCTGGGGGGCGCGGCAAAATGACGTTCCAGGAGTTCTGGAGCGAGACCAAGGTGGCTTTGGTATGGCAAGCCAAGTGTCTCATTAATAGCCACTTTTACCTATTAATGAGACAATTGGCTTGCCATACTACTCGAGGGCCCTCTAGCAGCTGAAAATGGTGGTGTTCAATATTTTCCATGTCAGAATGAATTAAATCGTCAGATCTCAGCTAAAAATTGGTTTATAAATAAGGGGGAAAAAAACGTAAATTAGTTGCTTGGGACTAAAAGTCACAGGACTTGCTAATTTATGCGACTTATACCGGGAAAATATGGTAATGAGCTCTAATTTGTGTTGTTTTCTGTGTTGCGGTGAAGTAGATTCATCTTTGATTTGATTGAGACAGGAGTCCTACAGGTGCTATGATGGACTCAGAGATGCTGCCAAGCCTCACAAAATAAAAGCATACACAATTTTTTTTTCTTTGGCTGATTTTTATTATCTGGATCCATCTTACAAAAAATTACAAAATTAGACTGGTTGCTTTTGTGGTTCCCGGCTTTCATGTTTTTCCCTCATCAGATGCAGGACTGGCAGCGAATGTGTCCATGACGCTGACTGAGCTGTCGGTTTTCATGAAGAAGCAGGAGCTGGACCTTCAGCTGAGGACAGAAAAGGAGAAAGAAGAAGGTGAACGTGTGTATGTGCTAGAAGCAGATCTTAACATCAGTTCAGAACTTTTGAAGTGGGTTCTGTGGAAAAAATTATGAACCATTAGTATCTGTTGTTAAAATTATTTGTTGTCCTCAGTTCAGCCGATTTTAATTTAAGCAATTCATTCTTTTCTGCTGCAGCTGCCATTACTGAGGAGCTGCTGAAACTCACTGAAGATAAGCTGGAGCTGTCGGACCTGAGGGGCTTCGACTCCCCTTTCTTTCGCACCACCGAGACTCTGACTGGCAGTCAGATGCAGGACAAGCCCTCCAACCCCCACCCTGGAGCCCACGTCCGAGAAACCCACCACACCGTGTCCACACCGGACAAAGCTGAGGTGTCTGCAAGCAGCAGCGGCGTCGGCAGTGAAAGAGGAGGCGCAGGAGGAGAAAGCAGGAGCTTCGCCCTGGAGCACTCCTGGTCATTTCAGTCGTGCTTCACCCCCATTGAGCACCACCTGCACCGAAGCTCCTCGGCCCCCGACGACGAGGTGAGCAAGTTTGGGATTCTCTCGCCAAGCCTGTGCAGCAAGGCCCCGGTGCCCTACGAGTCGTTCTTCGACCTGGCCCTGCCGAGGGCCACCTCGTTTCTCGTGGGCCAGAAAACAGCGGAGGCGGTCAACAAGGCGACGATGGAGAGGCTGCTGCAGCGGGAGGAGGGGCTGGAGGACGGGGAGGAGGAGGGGGTTGTGTCTGCTTCACCACTGGAGGTGCTGGATCGCCTTGTTCAGCAGGGGAGTGACGCCCACGATAAAGTTCTCAAGAGGTGAGAGGCTTCCCTTTGGATCAGGCTCAAATCTCTGGGGGTCGATTTTAATCCAGGGATGCACCGAAACCACTTTTTTTTCCCAAACAGAATGCAAGTACTTATATTTGAGTACTTGCCAATACCAAGTACTGGTACTAAGAAGTGCCATTATTCATCTTACAATTAGTCCAATGTTTAGTTACAAATTTGATTCATTCCAGCAGATGATTTGTATGTGGAAAAATTATATTTTAAACGCATTTATTCTATGAAAAGTGGCAACTAAAACAACTGGTTTCAATGCCCCCCATTCCCCATAAATGTCCATCACTTTTAGTAGTCGTCACGGTCATTTTCAGCACGATTCCTGCCCGGTAACATTTCTAAAACATTTCTTTCCTCCCAGGCTCTGATCAGGGTGGCAGCTTTTTTTTTCCTCCCCCGTTTTCCTAACAACTTAACTTGAGAGGCACATACCTAATGACAAGCGGGTTGGAGGAGTGAAGAGAATTTATTGTTGTTGATTTGTTTTACAGATCTTTTACAATAAACTTACCATGCTCTGTTCAGCAAAATACGTTACACCGTGTTGCTCCCTGCTTCGGCTAAGCTGAAAGTGAAACTTAAGTGAACATCCATGACTTGAAAGTAGTCTGCATGTGCCTTCTCTTAGGGCTGGACGATATGGCAGAAACTTTTATCACGATGTATTTCTTAATTTCGGTCGATAACAAAATAATTCCGATATCGATATAACAATATAAAAGCCTCAGAAAACTGTACAAATAAATTAATGTTCACCTTTTATTTGTATTTAGCCTTCAAAGAAATTTGAAATCACTGTCAAATAAACATAAAACTCTCAACTTTGTCAATATTAATAGTTTTAACTTTAAACAACAACATGACGCTAACCCATGCAGCAAACATCTGCGGTTGAAGCTTCAGCCCAAACAGAAAAAGAAACGCTTCAGTGAAACGCTGTGATCATAGCGTAATGTAAAATGAAGTATCGAAAATGTGCTTAAAATTAAAATCACCGTTATTGAATAAAAGTATATCGTGATATATATCGATATCGAATTATTGTACAGCCCTACCCTCTCTGTACAATTACACCATTTGCAAGTAAGGACACCGCTTTTTCCCAGCATGTTAGAGGAGAAATTTAGAAGTGTTAATATAAACGCATAATGGGCCAATTATCACAGATACAATATGTCCCCAAACGCCTATATTGGTCCTACCAATATATTAGCCCCTACTTATATATTAGCCCCTACTGATATATTAGCCCCCTACTGATATATTAGCCCCCTACTGATATATTAACCCCTACCGATATATTAGCCCCAACCGATATATTTGCCCCTACCGATATATTTACCCCTACCGATATA